TAGATAGATAGATAGATAGATAGATAGATAGATAGATAGATAGATAGATAGATAAAGAACTTAAGTGGCACAGGCTGAAATGTGAGTGTGCTCTACATTCAAAAGCAATCCTTGAATGAGGCTCTGTTTTAGCTAAGCTATTTACTCACCAGTTATGAGACACACACAAATTTGTATCCTATATTGTGAAACATCCTTGGGACGTATGTTCCTGAGATTTGTTGGTACATAGTCTTTTACCTTTAAATAATTTCTGAAGATACAGATGATCTTTCCCTCTTTTTATTAAAAACACAAATACTTTACAGAATCACATCAGAATCAATATCAAAGAGGTCAGTAAGTTAGCAAACTACAGCATACACATAATCATAATAGATTTCTGAATCAAGATATCAGCATGCCAACCTTCAGTGGCAACATAACTGCTTACCAGTCTCTGAGACAAACAAGCATGAGCTGTTCCATTGAGGAGTTAAATGCTTGCTGGTATTATAGGTGCCTATGGTCCTTCTGTCTATTTACCTATTAATTCATGTGTCATATTGGAATAAAGTTGATGAAATAATCTTTCCTTTTTCCTATATTATACATTCTTGATTTCTCAAACATTTTTACCAATGTACACATTTTTTTTTAATATCATGCCCAACTGGCAGGTGTATTTCAGAACCTGGTGGGAGTTTTATATCGTTTAGGGAGGCGTTTTGGAGCTTCTTTTGGACTAATGTTGGGTGCTGTGGAGGTGTTTGAGGGGAAAAACTCAGTTGAAGTGGGGTGGGCGAATTAGAGATACTTAAAAGTGCAGTGAGAATGGTGGGCTGAAGAGTGGAGGATTAAAGTTGAACTGGAAGAGAAGAACTTGAGAAGAAAAGAATACCTAAAGGAAATTGGAATCCTAAGGTACAGACAGTGGTGGAGTCAACCTTTGGCAGGGTTGAGAATACCAATGTTTGGCCAGCTTGTGTGTCCAGTGGTAAAGGTGGCGAGAAAAGGACTGAGGTAGTGTCACACACCACCATTACTGACATCAGTCTTACAAGTCTCCTACTCCCTTTCAAGAGAGGCTGAAGATCTTGCCTTTGTTAGTGGAGATGGCCTCCAATCCTCAAGACACTCCACTGTCTGCCAAGCACCTTGCTGCAGCCCCAGGTGGTAGATTAAATCCAAAAATCAACTCCATTTAAAGACCAAACTATACTTTATTGGTAAGCTATAATACCAAAATGTTGCAAGCCTGACTGCTTTTCTTCCCCTCCCTCTTATACCCCACTGAGTCAGGGAGAGGCCAACCTGAGTCTCTTTTTAATATTGTCTCTGTTCCCAGGTCTTAAAGAATACTTTTGTGCTTTTTATTTACATAATGGTTTCTGAATATTTGTTTCAAGGCCGCCACCTCCCTTGCTCTCTCCTGAGTTTTAGAAGGGAGGACGTGATGGTGATGGTAATGGTGATGGTGATGGTGATGTTTTCACCAGGCATTTGGGAATTAAGGATATAGAGCGCTCTGATTGAACCTTAAACAGATTGATACTTGTGTTGACATATATATTTCTTTTTTAAATTAGTGTTACTGGTTTTATCAACTACTTATTTTTAAATTTAAATTTTATTGTTGCTATAGATCACAGTCCTGCAATGGGGAGTTATGTAAATTGGTGGAATATTTTTTTCTTATTTTATATTCATATACTTCCAAATTAATATCTTGTGACTTTTATTTATTGTGCCTGAATTCCCTTTACAGTTCTGTTCTTTTGTAAAGATCTATGCTATCAAAAAGATAAATCATACATTTTTGGTTCCTTAAACCAAAATGCTTTGAGTGTTTCAATCTCAGGGTCTCCTCTCCCTTACGATTCTTCACAAAGTTGGTTTTATCTCTATGTCTTCCCTTTGCTACCATAAGTTTTTTTATTATTTGAAATAGTTGACTCATATAACAGATCATTAAAAAAAGATTTTAGCAGCAACCTCTCAGTAACAAGGCCTAGGCCACCTTTTGCAGCTACTGTATTACTAACAAATAGCACAAGATTGTATCCACAGTGCTCTCAATATTAATTTATAAGTTGTTGTTTGCTGTTCTTCTTAGCATTTGTTCTGCATAGTTGCAGAGTTGACTTTTCACATTATAGTTGTTTAGGTCTTGCAGCAAAACTCACAATAAATGATGCAATGCGGGATTTTGTTTACAGGAGCTTGTCACAAAGCTTGGCACTGATTCAGGCTGAGAAGGAGTGACTCTGTTGGCTTCTGTGCCTAAAAGAGGACTCGAACCTGGGTCTCCCTATTCCTGTTTAGGAAAACTTCCCCCCCGTTAAATAAGATAAAAAGAACAGCTGAAGGGTACTTTGAAGTTTGTATCTGTCATCTGTAACCACAGGGGGTTCTCAGTTATAGGAGAAGACAACGTTTTTCAAGCAAGCAATTTATTATATTAGTTACAAACATTACATCACTGTTTCTGCATGAACCTTGTAACAAACAAACTGGTTGATTTAGGTAACAGCAACCATGGCCTTCCCATGCATAGTTACTATTAACTTTCTTTCTCTGGGATTGTACAAAACAGTTTGAACAAAAAGAGTTTATTTTTAACTCTTGAATTGCTTATGCTCCTTATCCCTTATTCCCTTCCCTGTCAGCAGTTTGTTTTCTGCGACTTACCTGCTATTATAATGGCCTCCAGCTTATTCTGTTGTGCACCCTAAATATAGCTTTGGTTATGTCTGCTAATGTTTGCTGATTTATGAGTCCCACCCCTGATCCAGTACCTTAACCACTATACCACACTGGCTCACAACCAATTTTAATTTATATATTAATGAAAAATTCCCAAAATAGCCCGACAAAAGAAGAAATCTAAAAGTGAAATGCAGAAACAAGCAGACAGAGCGATCCAGAAGTTGAATCAGCTTCTTATCAATAGGGGATGTCTTAGCCAAGAAAAACATGGAAAAGAAAATATACTAGAAATACCTTCAAAATAGATTAAACCAAAGTGGAAATGCTAGTTGATTAACTGGGACTGGCAATTACAGATTGAGTTTGTATATCAGCCGTGGTTGAAGAAACCGTAACTGGCTGGATTTACAAAACATGCTAAGCCACAGCAAAACAAATCCCCACGTTCTTAACTGGCAACTGATAGGAACTGTGGGAATAGTATCCAAAGCATTTGGAAGGTATCCAGTTGCTAAAGAAATAACCTCTATATGTATCTTTGGAAGTCCTCATCCAGATGCTTGGCTGAACGAAATTAGAAGGATGGCTACGAGAGAGGGCACCATCTCAATTGTAGGACTCTGCTTATTGAAAGCCATCCTGAAGGATGCTCCCTTTACCCAAATTTTCTTTAGCAACAGGCAAAAACATTCCTCTTCTTGCAGGGTCTTAAGATTTTACCAATTTGTTTTATCGCTTCTAAGGATTCAGTGTGGCAGACTGTAGTTATCCTGGCCTTTTTGTGGAGGGGGGTGTATTATTTTAATTTGTAGTCTGCCCAGAGAACTTATTATTGGGTGAGTTAAAATAAATTGAATAAATGTTTATTAATTCAGGGACAAAAAAACCCCAAGTATTTCTTCATACAGCACTTAATAAAATCATGGAATTTTATTACTGCAAGATAATCGTGCTGGTGATCAAATGGAATTTTTAAAAAAAAATTATCTAAGATACTATTGTCAGCTACCAGTTATGATTAGCAAGAGCACTTCCCCACATAGCCACCATTCTCTGTCCAAATCTTCACTGGTACCCACACACAAGTCATTGCTGTGGCTATGAAGGAATCTCATGAGAAGACCTGTTGCCTTGTTGTGTTCCTTTTTGTGTCCATTGGAAAAATGGCCATCGTGGGGAGGAACAGCAAGGCTATGCCTCAAAAATGACTTGAAACAATGGGGAACATCACAAGCCCCGTGGCCCTTCACTTCAGGATGCTGGGAGGCAAAGTGAGGTCAGAGATCCCACCAGAAGGAAGTAATCTCTTCCACCACAAGAAGAAATGCTGCTCGGTGCTGAAGACCTCCCCAGGACAATGGCCTTGATGTGAGGATAGGCACCGCCTTTCTGCACGTGGAGATCTTAGACCTCTACTTCATATGTGACTGGAGAGTCCCACAGAAATTCCATTGACTATTACGGGAAACAAATTAATTCACCATGGCAGCTCTCTTGCTCAGAGTCAATAAAACATCTTTTCCACAATTCATTGCAACAAAAAGAACAGAGTACAGTATTTCTTTGTGCCACCTTAAATTTTAACCAAGCTCTTTATGGTATAAACTCATAAAGCACACCCACTTCATCGGATGCATTTCAATAAATGAAAGGTATCCAAACCTAATAGGATTGCTGAGTTTCTTCTGTCTTTACTTAAATAAACTATCCAAAGTATATTCCTGATGATCAGGGAGAAGAACAAAGCCTTATATGTGCAATCATTTATTTAATGTAGCACTATCAGTTTCCACTGATCTGTAAGGAAAGTCATGGAACACAGTGGAAAAATAGGACTAAAATTAAATATAAAGAAGACTAAACTAATGACAACAGGTACAACAACCAGCCTTAGAACTGACAATGAAAGTATTGAATTGGCAAATAGCTTCTGTCTTTTGGGATCAACCATCAACATAAAGGAACCAGCAGTCAAGAAATATGGCACAGATCAGCACTTGGTAGAGCAGCCATGAAGGCCTTGGAAAAAATATTCATATGCTGGGATGTGTCTAAACCTACAAAGAATTGTGCAAGCAATGGTGTTCCCTGTGACACTCTGGAAGTGAAAGACTTAAGAAGCAGGACAGGAAGAGTACTAACGGTTTTGAACTTTGGTTTTAGGGATGACTCCTAAGAATACCATGGATAACCAAGAAAACAGGCAACTGGATCATTGAACAAATCAACCCAGAGTTCTCATTCAAGACACAACTGACCAGGCTCAAATTATTGTACTTCAGACACATTATCCGAAGTCCTAGCTCTCTTGAGAAGGCTGTCACGCTTGGAAAGGTGGAAAGAAAGAGAAGGATGACTAGCAACAAGGTGGATGGACTCAATTTCAGTGGTGATGGGTGCGCTGTTGGAAGAGCTGAAGGACCAGGTTAGGGGCAGATCATCATGGAGAAAATCTATGTGGTCGCTAAGAGTCAACCCCAACTTGATGGCACATAATCAGTCAATCAGATCCCAGGCTGTGGTGCATATCATGTCTTTGTCCAATAACCTTTGGTCTCAGGTGGTAGCATGTCTGGTGTAGAAGCTAAGTAGAGTCAGGCTGGATTAGTCCTTGGGTGGGAGACGAGGGTTGCAAGTTAGCCTTGAAAGTAAAAAATAAAATAAAATAAAAACCTCACATCCTGGAAGAAGGGAGTGCCAAACCCCCTCAATAACGTTGCCAAGAAAACTGCACGAGCGTTTCCGTGCAGCCTCTAGAAATCTCGTATACCTCTTTTTACAAAAAAAACCCTGAAATGTCAGGTTTTTGTAAAACGAAAAATGAAGCCCGATCAGGAATACAGCCCTATATGAGCGAGCACCCTTTTATTTCCCCGGCTTTTAAAAACACGCCTCACGGTCAGCGAGCCCCAACCTGCTGCACGGATGCTGAAGTCCGCGCCCAAGCCGGGTGGGGGGTGAATCCCAG